CTGCCTGCTCCCTTGTACCTTACCGTCCTCTACGTTACCAACTCTGCCTGTCTGACTTCGCACTTGCTCAGCCATCCATCCATCCATCCCAATCGGCGTCACCCGACCTCCACACATCTGGCTCTCCCTGGTTGGAGCCCCTGGCGAACCCCCTACCACCGACAGGTGTGCTCAGTAATGTGGCGACCTGGTCCCGGGGTACTACAAGTCCATCCCCACCATCAGGGGCCCTGGTGAACAAGTACCCTGGGGCTTAGACTCCCGCGCTCTGGGCACGCCTGACCGGTGGAGTGCTAGTGTGGTGACGGCTCGGCGGTCCCTCACAATATGCCTTTTAGACATATGTCACGATTTTTGGCCAACTATGGAAACTAAGAGGCTTCTTGACAATCTGTAGGAAAGCCATCAAACATGTTGAGAAAAGAGACTCATTAAGACAGTCCTCGAAGCCTCTTTGGTTCCAAGATGAAATAGCAAGTCCTAAAATGTGCAGCACACAACGAGAGGCACGGAGTATATTTCACTTGGGAATGCTAGAGCAATGCCGCTGCAAAGGCAGCCTGCTTTAACCGGTACCGTGTCTGTAGAAATCTTCATGGCCACACACCTTCCGATCTGGACAGCACTGATCAGGTAAGCGATTTGACTGTTTTGCAATCCAATGAAAAAAACCTAAGCAGAAGTGGAAAGTATCAGGGGATGTAAGGATGCAGATGGACTTAGGCCCATGGGGATGGACAGTACTGTGCCCCTCGAGCATTATATCCATATTTGGCTGAGGCATCTCATGGCTCCTCTCATCTGCCCAAAGATGCAATGGTCTCTACAATCACATATTACTTGGTAGCCCCAGGATTTAACACTGTTGCTGAGAGATTCTGTCAAGGATGAGAAACATGTCAGATATATAGTCCTGGGAAGCTGGTAAAAAAAACCCCACCTTCCAACTGAGCGTTTGCCCAAAGCGAAGTATTGCTTCCAGAGACTGCAGCTTGATTATATTCAATTGGCAAAATGTCAGCAATTCCAATATGTCCTAGTATGTGTAGAGATGTTCTCAGGATGGGTAGAGGGCCTGGCCTGTAGCCAATGCTACTGCTTCAGTCACTGCAAAGACGCTGTTGCAGGAAATTGTGTGCAGGTATGGCCTGATGGAGACAGTAGAATCTGATCAAGGGAGCTATTTCACAGGCCAAGTGATGGCTGAGGTTATGGAAGGACTCCAAATTGAACAGATGTTCCATACTCCCTACCACCAGCAGGCACCAGGGAAAGTTGAAATCTATATAATGGAATGATTAAAAATAGATTAGCCACAATTTATGAAAAGACATGCCTCACTTGGGTGCAAGCTCTCCCCCGGTGTTGAAATCCATCAGACATACACCTAGAGGTCTGGAAAAAACTATCTCCATTTGAAATATTGTTCGGGAGAACCCCACTGACAGGTTTGTTTTTTCCACAAGAGATGACATTAATGCATTGTTCATTGAAGATGTATGTGCAGCAATTACACAAGCAGCTCGCTAAGTTGCATGCCCATGTTTTCTTTTCTATTCCAGATCCAAATTCTGGTGGTGAATCTCACTCCTTACAGCTTGGAGATTGGGTGGTAATCAAGAAGTTTCAACAAAAAGGGCTGGAGCCCAGGTTTGAGGGTCCCTACCAGGTATTGCTGACCACCCCCACCTCAGTGAAATTAGAGGGAAAACTCTCTTGGGTGCATGCTTCTCATAGTAAACAAGTCCAAAAGAATGTTTAAAAAGTCTAGTGGAATGAGCCTCAGTCTTCCCTGGTTGTAAGCTTAATCATCTGGGGTGTTCCTGCTACTTTTCAGAAAACCACCAGGGTGCGGGGTGGAGTCACACTCAGATCCATAAGATAGAGTGAGGACAAGTACTCCCCAGATACCCAATGTACTTTCAAGGGTATATACTCATCCATGCCATAGCAGGAATTAATTTTGAGGGGTCCTTCCTGGGAACATACCACACCCTTACAGGTTTCATACATCCACTGGGGACTTTAATGAGGGGCATATATTTGATAGGCTTTTCAGACTTGCCTACTTTAAGACTACTCCTGGTGAGCGGGTACAAATACAGGGGGTGGTGAAAGATAGCCCTGATACCATACTGTATGTAACATATCACATAGATGAAGACATGGCCTTGTGTGAAGAGAATTAGGACCCCAAGAACATAGAAAACCCATGGAAGTGAGATGTCTTATGCAATGGTGTGGATCTGCCTAGAGTGAATGAGTGGATGAATAGAAGGCCAATGAATAACGGCCATTCTGCAATGCAATCGATGAAGGCTGTTGGACATTTATGCAAATAACAAAGGTCAAGAGTGATGACATGTTCCCAGGAATAAATACCCCAATTATTGACCCCAAACACTGGTATCCCTGGAAAGGGCGAGGAAAGATCTGTGTGACAGTTGTACAAGTACCGAATGAGATGGATGTTCTTGTCCCGGGAAAAATTAGTTCAGACTAATGTAAGGCCCTTATAGTGAAGGAAGCAGATCTAGCAGTCCCTTTACTCTCCTCTCACTGGACAGTACTAACAGAAATGCAATTTATGTTATATACATGGAGGATAACTATCTGATTTCTGGGTTGATAAATGGGATCGAAGGTGTGCAGCCTTGATAAAGAATCAGGTGTACATGTTGAAAGGTTGACTGCAATCCGGATATTTAGAATGCTCTCATCGCAGAGCAAAGAGAGGCTTAATGGAGATTGCCTTAGGAGCAGGGGGTGTGGCAATTGGTACCCTAAACACAATGGATCTGGAGATACTCGGAAACAAATTAGGAGGAAGGGGTTAAGGTGCAGTTAGATGTGAATCATATCCTTGAAAACCTACAATATGCTCACATCGATGCAACTGCCTCACTGCCTGAGATAATGAAGAAAAAAAATCACAGGATTGATAGCAGGATTATCCAATGTTCAGGAAGAAATCCAACTTTCTTTGTCTTGCACCCAGGTACAATCAGAAATGTCCCAGGAACTCAGAGTATTACCTCTTTTTCAGCGGGACAGTTTCCACTCAATTTAAGAAAACAAGCAGGGTAGGGTAATATCCAAGTTTGCTATGAGTCATATGGATTGATGGAGTTCCAAGGCTGTCAAAACCTGACTTGCACTATCTCATCCCTGATTCCAGTTGCAGGGATTGAACATCATGTATATACTACAGTCAATCTGGATACTATCCTATCGAACTCTACCATTTTACACCCTCGGAGTCCATCATGATCTGATGGTTTATGAGACCGGACAACTTCAGATGATACTGATGGGTGCTGAAGAAAGGAAGGGGTTGTGTTATGCCATAGAAAACAGGACAGGATCATGAGACAATAATGCTGGCACAAAGAAGGGTCATGTCTAATGGATGCTCAGGAATTGTCCCAACCATATTTAAAATACTTGGGGCAAGGGTATTGATGCTGGTATCAAATATCTAGCGATGCCCTATATTCTATATACAGGTCAAATTGTACTCCGTGGGGTACACTACCTTGGGGAGTCTACTGTACATCTTCTATCCTTGGCATAGCCATAGCAGGGACGTACTCCTATTACCCCTGAGAAAAAGCTTGATAGCAAATCTGACACCCCCATACACCTACAGAAACTTCCTTTGGGATTTGGGTCAGAGTTAAAAGCTTGGTTACTAGACTTTGGGCAACGGGATGAGATTTTAAATGTGTTAAAATATGCTAAGAAACAAGCTACAGTACGGCTCATTCATAATCAGAATAGATTAGTCCAAGTAACACATATTAGAGGGAGATGCTAAGGTATCCTGGTGGGAAAGTTTATTTGGGTACAATCCGAGAGCCACAGCTTTCCTAAATATCTTACTCCACCCTGTTGTTGTCTTGAATTGTGTAACCTTGTTGCTCTTCCTGATGCAATTAATAACATGCATCACCATCAGGAGAATGAATGCCAAAGCTATGAAAATGTGTACCTCAACGAGGTATCTCCTCTTGCGGAACAGAGAGGCCATTAACTCAGGACCCTAAAACAACGTAAAGAAAAAGGAAAATGAGACTTTTGATGGTCCTTTTTTGGGGTTTTTTTTTTTTTGCTTCTATTTTTATTTATTTTATTTTAGGGAAAAGCCTCTAAATTGGAGTAATAAAGTGCAGTCGGGTGTAACCAAATTCTAAAATATTTTTAATAAAGTTTTTTTTTTTTTGTGCACCTGACCTGCAAATTTATACTGTTGATTACTAGAGCGGGGGGGCAGTTGTCTATTGTCAAGTAACTGCTGCAATGGTTTTTTTTTTTTTTGTGTGTGTTATAATGCAGTTACCAATAGTTTTTTAGGGCAACTATGTATTGTTTTTGTTTTTTTTCCTTTCTCATTTTAATTTGTTTTTATGAATACAGATACATTGCTCTTTACCAACCTAAAGTGAAATATGTAAAGTAAAAGTCATAGTTGGAGCAGCATTAAATCTGTACCTTTTTTTATTTTTTTTTTTGCTACTCTTCCCTCTTTTTTTTCCTTGTTTAATATTATTCCAGTATACTCCTTTAGCATATAACCTTTTTAGCATAACTTAAAACTAGAAACTTATGAGCTGAGAATTATAAGGCTTCTTGCCTAACTCAGCTTCAAGAGTCTGGCAGGGATCTACATGCTTATAATTGCTTCCTGCAGATATCCCTCAATCTGCCTACAGCTTCAACCTAAGCCCTGTGAGCAAGTGGGGAGAACTCAGGGACTGAGACCTGGCAATAGCATGCAGCATCGGCCATCCTTACCTTCAGGGGCTCTGGTAAATACCGGCTGTTGCTCAGACTCTGCATCCTGTGGGGATCCCACTTTACCTGCCCACATTAGGACCCCTATGCTTAATAAACTTTAATGGCTAAACTGCTGCTTCACTCTTGAATTCTTCCAGTAACCACACACTGACATTCTCCTTTTCTTTTGTATCTATGTATGATTGTCTGGAGGTCTGCCCTACCACCTGAAGAAACAACAACCATCATACCATCTATTGACACAAAGGTGCAACAACTAGAGCTTCCTTAACTATCTTTCACTATGCTGAACATTGCCATCTCGCAGTCTGATCCAATCTTTGCAAACATTGCACAGTGTAGTCCAAGCTGCGGGACTAAAGATACCAGGATCCTGCCATCGATGTTGGAATTCCATCCTTCCAAGATAGAGGGGCGAGGAAACATTGCAGCACAGGCATTCATGGTCTAGATATGAGGTCTCGGAGGCACCAGGACTTCTTTGTTTGCTCAGGCTCAAGTCTATCTTGATGCATTCTTCAGAACAGATAAGGAGTTTCAAGAAAGAAGAGGCCGTAGTGGTGGTGGGGGGTTGGGATTTCTGGACTGTCATGGGTGGGTACAAAATCATTGAGGGAGGGCATAAGATCACAAATGAACTTTAGGGAGAAATGTGATCTATATTTTGGGCCTACAATAATTTTTACCTTCATGAACATTATTGTGAACTTTTGATAGAGGTCTAAGTCTCAGTTTCCTGCAAAATACAGGAACTTCACTTTATCAAAGGACATCATAAATGATAAGTCACCATTATTTATGAACTTTTGTATTTCCAAGAAATTCAAAGTGGACATTGACTGTATATGCAAATTACCATCTGTTTTGTCAGCTCAAAAACCCCCTTGAAGGTTTCCTGTAGAAGGTTTATGTCAGTATGGCCACCTGGCTGATGTAAGGAAATAAGCCCTGGACTTAATGCCATTCCTAACACCTCTTAGAGAGTATTGTAATAGATCTTCCTGTGGAAACTGAATTCAAAGGTGGTATGCTCAGCTGGATATTGGCTTATCAGAAATTCCATCTGATGACCTACAGCTGACTGATATCTTTCACAGTCACAGAGCCCCCCATTGAACAGAAATGGCAAAATACTGGAATTTATTGAAGGGTGTGACTTTACCTGGGGGGGGGGGGGGGGGTATAAAAGCAAGCCATAGTTCTCTGCTCTCTTTGAGCCCAGGCGTCAGCACATGCTTCTAAATGGTCATATTTAGATCAGCAGTTATTTAAATACCTACAACAAATAGCATTATTAAAAATATATATGTATAAGCTGCAATAACAACTTATATCTCAGCACTTAAATAGTGAAAATAACACTAAATAAGTATGGTCTAACAAAGCAGCTGTTTTGAATAATAATATAAGCAAATGAATAGTTAGAATCATTCTCATAATTATCCAAAAGGGATACAAAATGGATTTACCTTACTGATGCCTTAACACCTAATGGTTTAAACACTGAGCTAGATATTAATTTTTTTTATTAGTGATTATTGATTTTTTTTATTATTATTATTACATTTTGGTATGTCATTATTAATTGGTAATTTATTATATCATTTTATTATATAATTTATTATATAATTTACATTTTTTTTATAATTTTGCTAATTTTTATTTTGAATTTGATCCCTTAGATCAGAATTGTATAGGAAGAGATCTTATTATTTATTAGGTGTATTGTACATGTATGTAGTCAGCAATATAGTTTATAACCACAACATGGCAGTAAGGGGTTAGATCATCTAATTAATGACATAACAAGTGGCCTTAAATAAGACTGCTCATTCTCATGCATGGCCACACCCTGAGAGGAAGTCGGAATGACGAAACGCGTCAGTGCATGACCATCTGTGACTTCAACGTAGGCCGCGACCCATATGGAGTTGGAGTATTAACAGTAGATCTTGATGATGAGGAGGTAAGAAGGAGAGTGATCAATACTTTATTGGATGGAGGGTGATCTTGTTCTGTGTTACTGAGGTTGAATATTCCATTGTCGGTTTTATAACCAATCAGCATCAAGGAGGTTGATTTTCCACTGCTGGTTGCTCACCAGCATCTGTGGTGAGTGTTTAATTCAATGGGGTGTTAACCACCTCCCGTCCGGCCATTGTATATAAACGGCCAGACAGTGGCAGTGCAGGGGCGGGTGGCCGTATATAAACGGCCTCCCTGCTCGTATGCGCTCCCTGGGAGCGCGCAGCACCGCAATCCGGTGCTGCTGTGTCCTCCAGATCCAGTGGAACACCGATCGTCGTACAGGACCTCTGTTCGAGGTCCCGATCATGTGATCACTGGCCAATCAGTGATCACATGCAGAGTAGTAAGCAAGATGTCACTTCTGACATCATTGCTTACTATGTGTGAAATCTGTGAATGATCACAGAGGTCACATGGTACAAGGTTATTCACAACAGCCTTGTACTATGTGACAAGCTGTGACCAATCACAGCTCACACAGTATTTCTCAATGGCTGCAAGAATGCAGCCAGAGAGGAGAAATGATTGCTTTTACAGCCTTTATGGGCTTAACGCAATCAGTGTAAAAAAAATCATCACCCCCCCACAAGCATTACAGTGTCACAAGGGTGACAGTAAAAAAAACAATATAAAAAAAATAAAAATGTAAAATACAATTTTAAAAAATAAGTTTTGGTTATAAACTAATTTTGCTTATTTTTTTTTTTTTACTAAAAAGATAACTGAATACATTTTGGCCAAGATTTATGATGAAATATTATTTATTTGCAAAATTTTATAAGAAAAAAAACGCTTTTTTAAAAAAATTTTTTGGACTTTTTCATTTATATAGCAAAAAAAATAAAATTCCCAGTGGTGAATAAATACCACCAAAATAAAGCTTTATCTGTCTCAAAAAAATTCATATGGGTACAGTCTTGCATGACTGCGCAATTGTCATTCAAAGTTTGATGTGCTGAAAGCTGAAAAATGGCCTGGACAGGAAGGGGGTAAAAGTGTCGGACTTGAAGTGGTTAATCACTGCAGGATCACAAAGATGGTGGATTGAACAACCTTAAAGGAACACCACATCAATGAAATGAACTGAACTTTATTCACAAGTTGACACTTTGGTGAAAATGTCTTTATTTCCTTTTTATGTGTTATTTTCTATGTGGGTTGGTTTAAAAAGCATTACTAGCTTTTGAATAATGGGATATAGAATACAATAAATATATATATAAAATTAGTGGTGCACCGAAATGAAGATTCTGGTGCCAAAAACGAAAATTCAAAATTGAAAACCCAAATGTGCAGTTTTTTAAATGACTATATATTTTTTGGAAAAAATATGAAAGAGGATGTTACAGCGAGTAAATAGATACCCAACATGTCATGCTTTAAAATTTTTTGCATGCTCGTGGAATGGCGTGAAACTGCGGTACTTAAAAATCTCCATGGGTGATGCTTTACAAATTTCTACAGGTTAGCAGTGTAAAGTTACAGAGGAGGTCTGCTGCGAGAATGATTGCTCTTGCTCTGATGTTCGTGGCGATACCTCTCGTGTGCGGATTGAACACAGTTTACATATGTCAGCATGGCTTACGTATGCGTTCACTACTACATGAAAGCACTGGGGGATGGGGAAACTTTTTTTGTTTAATTTTTTTTTTTTTTTTTTTTTTGCACTGTCCCTTTAAAAAAACTTTAATCACTTTTATTCCTATCACAAGGAATGCACACATTCCTTGTGATAGAAATAATTAGTGACAGGCCCTCTTTATGGAGATATGGGGTTCAATAAGACCCCACATCTCTCCTCTACAATGTAAAGCGTTAGATGAAAAAAAAAAAGCATTGATCTAGTGCTGTAAAAAAAAAAAAGATGGCCGGAATGGGAAGTGAGACATCGCTCCGGTGGTGCTCCAAGGGCATAGAGATGGTGGCAGCCATCTTTCTTTCAATCATCGCTATGCCCAGCACCGGGATCGATGGTTTCTCAAGTAAGGCTGAGAACTATTGGGCAGCAGCAGCTGGTGGGCGGTGGTAAGGGGCAGGGCTTTTTCAGCACATGTATCAGTGTTTCTTTTCATTTCACCCACCAAAGATTTGGTGCATTCCTAATAAAATATATATATAATTGATTATTAAGACTGCTGGTGTCAGCACCTGTGTTAGTGAGCCCTTGTAGATAGTCAACTTGGGGTTCCCCAGGGCACAGAGTCTAAGCCCCAGCCTGCTTTTTCACCAGAGCCCCTGATGGTGGGGATGGACTTGCCACAAGTTGGGACCAGGTCATAGCCCCCAGGTACACCAGCTGAAAATGAGGAGACCACTCACAGGAGCAGAGTACAATGGGAGGAGACAAACAGAAATCCAATGGCCTAGTCAAGGTCAGAAGAGGCAGAAACCAAGCACAGTCAGAGAACAAAGCTGGGGTCAGTACAAGAGTAGTCAATGCCAGCTACAAGCACTAGAAACACACAGCCACTCCAACAACTAGGCAGTTGAACAAGCAAAGTGGCCTAGACTGAGCATGTCTTATATAGGCAGGCAAACAAGGAGGCGGGCCAGGAAGTGATGGAAGGGAAGGAAATAAAACCCAGAGAACAGCACACCACGCCCATAGGTGAGCACAGGCAAACACACGTGAAAGGGATCAATAACAGTACTGCAGCAAGGAGGTAAGAATACACAAACAAGAAACTGCAGACTAACTTGTGACAGCTGGGGTGGAAGGTCTCTATGTGCAAAGCAATATTAAAGACAGGATTTGATGGGTTACAGCCAGATTCATATAACCTGACTACTTTTCTTATAGTAGTGGTTAAATTGTTAGCTAAAATGTGGTTGGTTACAGTAATATATACAATTATAAAGTGTGATCAAATGGAGTTTAAGCACAATAGGTCTAGAACCCTTAAAGTGGAGTTCCACCTAAAAAAAAAAAAAAAAAAAAGGTAACTACAAAAACAGCCGCTGCTGACTTTTAAAATTCAGTCACTTACCTGTCCCTTGGTCCAGTGGTGTCTTCACCACCGGCCGTCTTCTCTCCCTGGCGCCGGCATCTTCAATGTGTGCACCCGCTGTGATAGCTTGCGGCTTCACATCCAGGTGCCCACTGCGCATGTGCGAGAAGCTCTGCGCTTTGTGAATGGCCCTGTAGTCTTCTGGGACTGTCACGTGTCCCAGAAGACTATGGGGAAGGAGGGGAGGAGGACAACTTCCACTTCTGATCACCTAGGCGCTCTCAGTGGGAGTGGGTACCTGTCAAATTCAGGTACCTACTCCCCCCCCCCCCCCCCCCCCCCCCCCCCCCCCCCCCCGCTCTCCAAAGGTGCCAATCCTTAATGGGAAGTGGAGGACAAGGACTTAAAGTGGAACTTCCCCTTTTGAGTGGATCTCTGCTATTATTGGCCAAACTTTATTAAATCTACAAATACCTTTTGGATAGCTGGATTGAGAGCCAAAACATTGCCTTTGAACA